AAATATGCTTTAAAATATATAAATATACACATAAGTAAATATACAACTCTATATATATATATATATATATATATGTATGTATGTATGTATATATGTATATGTATTATATATAATATTATATATAAATTCTTTAATTAATTAATAAATTACGAAGTATACAAACAAATATATAAATATATATAAATATATAAATATATATAAATATATATAAATATATATAAATATATATAAATATAAATATATATATGCAGTATGTAATATACTAATTGTACAAATAAAAAATAAACAGAAAAAATAAATAAGCGAATAGTAAATAGATAAATAAAAATAAATAAATACATAAATATATATATATATTATTTATAAATAATAATATGCATATACTTTGTAGCCTAAACCCTTAAAACCCTAAACCCTAAGCCCTAAACCCTTAAAACCCTAAACCCTTAACCCTAAACCCTTAAAACCCTAAACCCTAAACCCTAAACCCTTAAAACCCTAAACCCTTAACCCTAAACCCTACCTGCATGCGAGTCTTTTGCTTTGTGTGCGGCGTCTGCTGCTTTTAAATAACATGAAGCAGCCTCAGCAAACATCCTCGCGAGTTTATACTTCTGTTTAAATAAACAAACAAATAAATAAATATAAATAATAAATAAATATAAATAAACTTATTTATTTATTAATATAAATACACGGGGGAAAAGCAGCAGCAACAGCAGCAACAGCAGCACTAGCAGCATCAGCAGCAGCAACAGCAGCAGCAGCAACAGCAGCAGGAACAGCAGCAGCAGCATCAGCATCAGCAGCATCAGCAGCACCAGCAGCAGCATCAGCAGCAGCACCACCAGCAGCATCAGCAGCAGCAGCAACAGCAGCAACAGCAGCAGCAACAGCAGCAGCAGGATAAGAGTAAGAGCTGCCGATTACCTGTGCACATTGTTGATAAAGCTGAACAGCTTCATCATAGTTTGCTTCGCCTCCAAACAAGCGCGAAAAAAATGAAGGCCGACGCAGCGCTGCCTCTGCCTGCTGCAGCAAATCTGCAATGTTTGATATATCAATCGATGAAGACAGTTCCATCTCCTGATGCTGCTGCTGCTGCTGCTGCTGCTGCTGCTGCTGTTCGGGCTGCTGCTGCCGGTGCTGCTGCTGCTCGGGTTGCTGCTGCTGGTGCTGGTGCTACTGCTGGTGCTGGTGCTGCTGCTGCTCGGGCTGCTGCTGCTGCTGCTGCTCGGGCTGCTGGTGCTGGTGCTGCTGCTGCTCGGGCTGCTGCTGCTCAGGCTGCTGCTCGGGCTGCTGATGCTCGGGCTGCTGCTGGTGCTGCTGATGATGCTGCTGCTGCTCTTGCTGTTGCTCGTTATGCTGCTACTTCTGATGTTGCAGCTGCAGAAGCTGATGCTGCTGCTGCTGCAGCTACTGTTCCTTCTGCTGGCGTGGTTGCTGCTGTTGATGCTGCTGATCGTGTTGCTGCTGCTCCTTTTAACGTTGCTGCTGCTCCTTTAACGCTGTTGCTGCTGCTGCTGCGTCCCTCTACCTGAACGACGTGCTGTTGTTGCTGCTGTTGCTGCTGCTGTTGCGGTTATTCCTGTTGCTGCTGTTGCTGCTTATGCTGCGGATATTGCTGCTGCTACAGCTGCTGCTGCGTTCGCTGCTCCAGCTGCTTGTGCTGCAGCTGCTGCTCCTGCCGCTGCGAGTGCTGCTGTATTTGAAGCTGTCTCGCGGCATGCGATTCCACCTGCTGCTGCTGTTGGTCTTGTTGCTGCTGTTTGTGTTTTATTGCTGCTGCATTTATTTTGCTGCTGCTGCTTGTGTTTTGCTGCTGCTGCTTCCTGCTGCTGCTGCTGCTGCATACAGCAGCAGGGCTAACTGTTTGATAGGTCTACACTCCTTGTATGGAAATGTTTAAGAAAATATTGCTTTGAATTATTTTAATGTTTTTTCTTTTTGTTTTATGTATTCATTTATTTATTTGCTGCCAGCGATAGGCTGCTGCTGCTGCTGCTGCTGCTGCAGCATGCAGCAAGCACTCAAACGGCAGCAGCAGCAACAGCAGCAGCAGCAGCAGTAGTAATCAGGGGCTCTTTTTGTTGCAGTTTGTTTGTTTTTATTGTTTTAATTGTTAAATTAAAATATTTATTGCTGTCTATTAATTTAATTTGAATGAAAATAAAAATAAAAATGTTCGCTGCTGCTCTTCGCCAGGGTGTATAGACAGCGTGAGAGAGATACGCGCAAAGAGAGTTTTGTTTTACTGTATTTTTTTGTCTATTTTATTTATTTTATTAATATTATTTTATTTTATTTTATTATTTATTATTTCAACGGTTTTATTCTGCTTTTAAAACAAACAAAAACAAAAAAAAGAAAAGGACGAAGACACTCAGCAAACGCTGAGCTGCAGACGGAGAGGAGCGCAGCAGCAACAGTAATAAAAT